GTCTCCTCACATAGCCCGCTTGTCCGTCTCCACTGTCTCCCGTTCTCATAATTATAAAAGTAGAGGGGTGTTTTGTCAAAAAAAAAAGAAGTTAATAAGTAATAAAAAACGTTTTAAACATGTACTGTTAACTTGAAGATCTGCTCCATTGTATCTTTGATCCAAGCATAAATATTTTATTTGAAGCCCTCACGTCCTTGTATCTTTGATCTGGGTGGGAATAATTTGATTTGAAGACCTCACGCTGTCTTATCTTTGATCTAGGCGAGAAGAACAATGGTAAGTGTCGTCCCAACCTCCCTTTGCGGGAGGGAACATTGGTAGGCTGTCTGATTTTCAAGAAAATGTTAAATAAAATAAATAATAATAAATACAAATATATTATAAAATAATAGATATCAAAGACATGCGTTGTTGTATTTTTGATCCAAGCAAGAATGTTTAATTTGATGACTCGCGCCATTATATCTTTGATCCGGGCAGGAAGAATTTGATTTTTTGACCTTTGCCCTCATATCTTTGATCTGGGCGAGAAGCGTAATGGCAAGCGTCGTCCCAACCCCCTTTGCAAGGTGGGGATGCTGGGGCCAATCAAATTGAAAATGACAAAGGACCCCCACATTTAATTAAATTAATAATAATAATAATAATAATAATAATAATATTTATGCTTAGAAGACGCTACACTCCTCTTGAAGAATTGATATATACTTTTGGAGGTCCTTGTTCATTTGCAATTCTTCTCTTGTTTATATTGATACTCTTAACATTCCTTTTAAGTGCTTTAAGAATAATAATAAAAAAAAATTTGAAACTTCAAATCATATTTAAAATGATGGTTCATCTTCCTTTCCAAATCTTCTATCACTGGCTGAGAGCTCAGGAAACTCAAAAGTCATATGCATAGGCTGTATTTCAAAGAATGTATTTAAGAATCTTTTTTTGCCTTGAAACAAATTTTAAAATAGCTTGAGCTGCATAAAGGTCAAACTCAAACCTAACTTTCTTATAGAGAATTCATCTTGATTAATGTTCTTCATAACTCTATTCCATTGTTTTTTTTTTTAATGTTCTATTTAACTCTATTCCATTGTTATCTAAGATATTATAATGACTTTCAGAAGAATCTTAGCATTTGTTTAGGACCCTCCTAAAAACCAAGCAATCTTATAGAAGCTTATGTTTCCTTGGTTTGGATTGAACCCAATTCAATTCAAACACTTTTCCTATGCATGTGCTTTGTTGTAGCACTCTTTCTAAGTTTTATATAAAGGTTCTCTAATGATTTGGAAAGGATTATGGATTAGTATTAACCTAGTTTAGAGCCAAAATCTAGAGTTCTCCTCTATTTGTTTGGCCTAAAATTCAACAAATGATTCCAAGTATAGGGCTTTAATTCTAGTACTTTAATTTATTTGACCCAAATCAAGAAAATGAGTTTACTCATTAAACTTCCAAGTTAAAGGATTTCTTCATTGATTTCAACTCCCAAAGTTTGATGTGTGAAAAGCATTATGCAAAAATCGTGAATGAAATATAAGTATGAATGCATTATGTTGACGTAACAATCAAAAGGATAATGTATCATATATAGACAAATACAAATATATTATGCAAGTGCAAAAATGCAAAATACATCATGCATATATATACAAGCATTAATCAATGTGCTAAA